CCTAAAATCTACAAGGACGACTTCAATGTTCGTAAGTAAACGGATACACCTCAAAACCTCCAGCCGCATGAACGGGAACAAAAAAAAAATACTTTTTTTTTTTTTTTATAACAAACTTTAATTGACTTTAAATTAAGATCTCAGTATTCACAATGAACTATTAGCTGAATAGCATGCTAATTAGTAGCATACTACTGCTCATTAGTCATTATTAAGCTCTTATATGTGCCTTATTCTACATGAACATAGTCAGTCTATAGCTAACAGGTTATTAAGTTAACCTAATTACTGTTTATTAATTATTAACACTGAATGAAGTAACCCTCACGGTGCCCCTCCACCTCTCTGCAGGAAACCCTGAGTTCTCAGAGGCTCCAGACTTTGCAGATCAGACCGGTGTGTTCGAGTACTTCATGAACCTGACCGATCCTGGACCTCACGTCTTCACCTTACGGCAGGTTCTGACCCAGAGACCCGTTACCTGGGCAACAGATGCTGACCAGACCGTCAGTGTCATCGGAGACTACCAGTGGTGAGCAGAGCAGAGCGTGTTTAATACTGTGCACGTTTTTATAAATGTAAATAATATAACTTTGTTCAATGTTTCTGTGTTCCAGGCAGAACCTGACGGTGTCCTGCGACGTCTTCATGGAGACGGTGAAGACTGGAGGAGTGTTTGTAGCAGCTCGAGTCGACAAAGGAGGACAGTCGATCCGCAGCGCTAAAGGAGTTTTCTTCTGGGTGTTTGCAGACGGCACGTACAAAGTCACCAACGACCTCGGTCAGTGAGAAAAAACAACTGCTTATTATGGAGAAGAGAAAGAGAGAGATATGTTTGCTCAAGTTTTAAGTCGATATTCAAAACCTTACTATGCAACTTTCAGAGCAGATTGTCAGTCCCAAATATACGCTGCCTTCAGACACACCTCCTTCATCCCTCAGCTCCCCCCTCCCCTCCTGTCTCCACACTTTCCCCGCCCCTCCCTTCCTATTTCGTCAGTCAATGTCAATCTAAAAGATTAAACTGCTGTCATTTTTTGTGTTTTTAATCTGGTGTTGTTTGTCCACAGCTGGACAGACCGTTCTTGCAGAGGGACAGTCTGGTACTCTTGCGTTCGGTTGGCACACATTGACACTCACTGTGGAGGTGAGTACACACTTTTGGAAACATTGACATTCTCTCATTCTTCTGTGGGTTTTGTAAAAGAAATCAGCAGGAGCAGATCGTTCAGTCGTGTTAACATAAAAAGTCTGAGCAACTGTCTTAAATTAAAAAAGTCAAAGCGTCCCGACTGATGATAAAGTACACAGACATTGGATCCTGACAATATAAACAATGTTGGTTAACCTCAATAGAATTTAAACGGACCTGCAGAGTCTGGTTGTTAATGTAGAAGAGATCCAAACCTCCGTGATGTACTTGCAGTCTGTGATTGACACATGTATCTAATGAGGTGTATATATACTGTATAACCTGTGTGTGTGTCTCCTGCAGGGTCAGTTTGCGTCTGGTCTTCTGAATGGATATCCTCTATGGAAGAACGCCGTGGTCCTGATGCCTCAGAACGGCTGGGCCGCTGTAGGAACCCGCTCGTTTGAGCTGGCTCAGTTTGATAACTTTAACGTGGTGGCGAAATAATCACTGACTGATGAAATGTACACTGTGCTGTGAATGCTGTGATGACTCTAATTTATTGACTTCATTCATGCTTTAATTAGGATGCGAAAGGGGAAATAATGTATCAATACGCACTCCTGCCTTTAAATTCTTACCTGATCATTTTGTAAATTATTGTATTTGTAATAAAAGGATGGTTTTATACTTTTGTTTTGAGTTTAGTTGTTTTTTAAGTATTTAAAAGTGTGTGTGTGTTTAGTAAGGGTTAAAGCTATTTTTAAATTGAGGTTATTATGTGAAAGCTGGAAAAGAGGCTCCGACTGATTGTCGAACCTCAGATAGAAGAGGAACAATGCAGACTCCATCCGGCCGTGGGACAGTGGACTGACTCTTCACCCTCGCAGGGCTCCTGGGTGGAGCATGGGAGGGTGCTCATAGAGTCTACATGTGTTCTGTGGACTTGGAGAAGGCCAATGACTGTGCCTCTAGGAGGTCATTTGGGTGGTATTGCGGGAATATGAGGTCCCGGAGCTGTTGCTACAAGCCATCAGATTCTTGATACAGTTTACAAGTAGCCAAAATTAGTTTCCCCCAGAGGGTGGCTCAGCGTTAATACTCTCAAAACTTGTGCATGGGGAACAGGTTTATCTGTCTTAAGAGTTTCTTTTTTACATTTTAAAAGGATGTTTTCTAACTGGGGACACAATCAGTCAAAGATTACATTTAAAGTGTGATAACTGGGCCCAGACAAGCACAGGCTCAGGATAAAAAGAAACAGACAAGGGGATATTGTGTTTTTACTCCTTAGTGCCGTTTTGTTTTCATTATTTTTGCAGATTAAAATAAATTAATTGTAAATTAAATTATTGCTAGGCAGGGTCAAATATTTACTTTTTATATATGTTTTATCAACAGATAGAAAATAACTACTTTTCTTAAATGAGAAATCGCTGAAAAACTTGACAACCCGTCTCCATGGCAACGACGGTTCTATTGCGACCTCTGCGGTCGTCTCCATGGCTACAAGACACCGACAACAACACTAGCCAACATGGCGGAGCAGGGGATGGAGAGACTCAAACGGTCACCTCAAAGAGTTTTTATCAACAACGTAGACTCATACACTTCTGAATGGATCGCCAAGGTAAATATATTATAAACCTGTCAGAGCTGCTAGCACGAGCTAATGCTAGTGAACAGGTTGGTTATTAGCTTAAGGATGCCGCAGCTAACGTGTCGTTTTTCATCTTTTTGTTGTTGTAGTTCTTGTCGGAGTGTTTGGTGGGAGCAGCTTTCTGTGTTGTTGGAACTGTTTCTGACTCACCTGAGGAGGACAGACCTTACCTGCACGAAGAGTATTCAGTAAGTACTTCACTCATAAAATAATGTGAGAAAACAACAGTAACATTTATAAAACTAAATAAAACTAGGATATTTTAACTTCCTTTTAAAAAGATAAAGAACATGAACAGAGACATCCTGCTCTCCAAACTGATGGACTGTGACGTAGTAATCTACAACATTACCCAGCATGCCGAGCAGCTGGAGGAGGCTCTCTGGGCTGTTTCAGGTAAGAAGGTTTGTTCCTGATTGTAGTTTAATGGATTCATCAAGTAGTTAAAAAAATAACTCAAAGACAAAGTTAAGTTCAGATTGTGCATGTCTGGAAGTGATCAATGTTCATCTTTAGCCATCACATGACCAGTGACTGAAGTTTTGTACCTGTAGACAATAATAAGATTTGATAAAAATGTAATTAATCAGTCAGGTAATGAATCGTGTTCTTTGTATTTGTAGCTCTTCATGATAAAATGAACCATTTCTCTGGACCAAAGATGTTCATCCTCGTCTCCACGGTGATGACCTGGGCCTGCAGCAAACCCATCGACCCTGTAAGAAAGCGCATACAGTTGCGCTGACAAGCTGTACATCAATCATTGATCAAAATTATTAAATAAATGTATTTAATAAATATTCTTCTTTAGTTTAAGTGAAGAGAAACATTTATTCACTTTCACAAACATCAATTCTTTTTGTACCTTCAACCTGCCATTAACCCAACAATGTACGATTTTGTTTTATATAGTTTTTCCATTAAATGACTTTTAGTTTTGACGGTTCATTCACCACCTCTGTCCAGATCAGATTTGTGTTAAAGTGAAAATCTTCTGTTGTGTTTTCGTCGTCTTTGTTTTGTTTCAGGACGATCCGGAGCTTCCGTTCACAGATGAGATTTTCTGGAGAAGACGAGCTCACCCGAACTTTAAACATCACATCGACCTGGAGAAGAGGGTTGTCAAGATGGGGAAAACTGTCAGTATCAAAACCGCCCAATTTATAAAATCTTAATAGAGGATTGTTATTAGAGCATTAACCACTGTGTCACACGATGGTTGTTTTCAGAACAGGAAGTTGTTCTCGACGTACGTGGTGGCGTCTGGACTTCAGTACGGGATGGGGGAGCAGATCTTTCACTTCTTCTTCAAGGTCAGATTCAAAGACTGCTGAGGGTCGTTGTGCCGTTGTCATACAGCGTCCCTGAGTGGGTGGGAGCCGTCTCTTTCCCACCACATGGTGGCAGGACTAAGGGAGAGGGAGGGGTTAACATAAAGTACAACAACATATGAATCCTGTTTGAGCACCTGAGCAACACATAAACAAGCTGAAGGAAACGTCCTGTTAGTGTGAGCACACAGCTGAGAACAAGAAATCCAGAGGGAGTTTAGGAAGTCATGACTTCACAACATATTTATGATTTATGCTAAATTAGTATACAGAATGTCACACAGTAGACCTTTACGATGTCTTACTCTGGTCAGAATGTTGGATAGGAAAACATCACAATAATTACAAAAAGTGTGAATTTTGATAAAAACCTTTATTCTCAGACGTCCTGGCTCGGGCAGGAACAAAGAGTTCCTGTGTTTGGAGACGGCAAAAACATTGTTCCCACGGTTCACATTAAAGACCTGGCAAGGTTAGAGACAAACACACACAGATGATCAATTCTACTTATTATTATTATTAGACAGTACTCAATCATAAATGCTGGTAAATCTATAATCTCACATTCATGATTTGATTTAAACAAATGCTGTTTGAAAAACGATCTTCATTGATTTGACTTGTTACGATTGTGTAAATATTTACATATTTTTTTACAATTTTAAACACTTTTATCTTGTAGTGTGGTTCATAATGTGATCGAACATCAGCCCAAACCGTATTACCTGCTGGCTGTGGATCAGTCGCACAACACCATGGAGGAGATAGTCAAGGTGAGGGTCTCAACTGAGGGAGAAACCAGAGGGAAATATTAAACTCCGAAAGTCTACATAAACAGACTGGACATGTTGAAACCTGTCCAATGCATACAGAGACATCTTTAGACTGATCCTCTTCTGTTACAACAAACACTATCTATAAATATGTCTGTTAATGTAGATCTGATCACTAGTCTGACTTCTATCTGTTCAGGTGCTCGATGTCATTTTCATTTATTCCGATGATGATTTCATAAAATGTATCTGTGTCCTCCTTCAGACAGTTTCCACTGCTCTGGGACCGGGAAAGATCGAGAAGAAGATGTTCAAAGAAGCTTTCCTTACAAAGGACCTGAGTGTACGTTCTGCTAAATGTGTTTTATCTCACAGCAAACTTTTTTCAACATGTAGGAAAGAAATGACATTGCTCTTAGGTTGAAAGCATGTTGAAAAGATAGATGTTGTTACAAACAGTCAGGATGGTTTCAGGTTAGCTTAGCTTAGCATTAAGACTTGCAGCAGCTAACCTGGCTTGTCTCAAGTCAGAGCAGAATAAATTCATATAGAACAATTCATACATGACGGGTCAACTCAATATCCTCCAAATTAAAAAGAAAAGAAAGAAAGTAATCATTTAAAAAGTGCAACAGTCAAACCTGACACAAGCAACTGAAATAAGAACAAAGGAAATGCCTGTATAAATATAAAACAAACTAGGGGAAAGAAAAAAGAAGACTTAGAAGACTTAATTAAAGGAGAATCGTTCAAAAAAGGTTTTTATGTATTTGTAGTAAATTAGAAGTAGCCGGTCTGATGTTTTGTTACTGTTTTTTATACAACGATTGTGTTTGATGTCAGCTAACCTTAAAAAAAACATAGAGTCGGGGTGCCGGTATCCTAGTGGTTAGTGCATGAGCTCCAACCACCGATTCCTGGTCCTCAAGTCCAACCTGTGGCTCCTTTCCTGCATGTTATTCCCTACTCTCTCTCTCTCTGTCTCATCCTGATTTCTGACTCTGTCCACTGTCCTGTGTCTTCATTAAAGGAATAGAAAAGCCCCAAAATAGATTTTTTTTAAGCCGTAAAGTAACGCAACAATAACTGAACTGACTGATCGAGGCAGCAGTGGACCTCCTGTGTTCTTTGAGGTCAAATCACGGTTTTTATCACTGAAGTCTGGTGTGCTTGAAGAAAACCATGTCACAGCTGTTTCTGGATTCAGAAGAAATACTGAATCTTATTAAATATGATTTTCGTGTCTCAGGTGATGGAGATGGACTCCCTGCAGGTGAACCTTCGTTTGGAGGCAGTCCACATTAAGGAGCTGTTCTCTATGGAGTGGAGCTGTGAGTCTGGACTGGTGGAGAACATGGAGCAGGTGGTGGAGGAGTTCAGGCAGACCAGAGGAATGCTGGTAGGAAACAAAGCTGAAGCCAGATGTGTTTTATGAACAGTCAGAACCAGGAAATAACTGACAATATAAACCTCTCACAGATATTTAGTTGGTGTGTTCCCATGTAACGCTCGAGCAAAAGCGCTGTATGTGTGAGCGCAAACAGTCGAACTTTTCACTTTAACTTTAATTCCTCCTGTCAGCCTCCTAGTAGAGTTCAGGGGCAGGCTCATGAGAGACAGCCGCAGGAAATATTCAGTAAAACTCACTGCACCACAAGCAGGAGGAGGTGATGAGGTTAACATCCTTTTCTGTTCTTTTCTTCTCTGCTCTTTTGTTGATGCGCTGAATATCTCCAACTACACATACCACTGATATAGCTTTCCTGCTGTAAATTTTGTAGACATTTTCAGGAGTGCATGTGTAAAACCGTCTTTAGATGATATTCTGGGTTGTACAAATTAACCCTTGTGTGTCTGCGTGTGTGCATTTGTGTGTGTTCTCTCTCTCAGCCCCTGCGTGTGTGTGTTGTGGGTCCTCCTGCTGTGGGGAA